GGTGCACTCACTGGCTGAGCACGGTGCGGCCGGTCTCAAAAAGGACAAAAAAAAAAAAAAAGAGTCCTTTTCAGATTACTTGACTCTTTCTCCTCTGTCTCCCTCTTCCAGGAAAACTTTTAAGAGCCCCTGTGATTACATCATTGGGCCCACCTGTATAATCCAGGCTACTTTCTCTACTATAGTCAGCTGATTAGCAACATTAATTGCATCTGCTACCTTAATTGCCCTTTGCCATGTAACCTAACATATTCACAGATTCCAGGGATTAGAAAATAGACATCTCTGTGAGGTCATTATTATGCCTACCACACATAGCAATTAATTTATGTGGAAATGTCTTCAGGGGAAAAAAAGACAAGTATTAGAATGTAGAAAATGTGCTCAGTGGTGGAAAATGAAGGATACAACTTATTTGTTGTGAAAGTTTCAATGTATTACCCAAAACTCAAAATAAGTTTGCAGAAATTATCAGGTATGTTTTATGGTTTAAATATGTGTGTTCTCCCCAAACTCCATATGCTGAAACTGAATCCCCAATGCGATAGTATTAAGAAGGTAGGGCCTTTGGAGAAATGATTAAGTTATGAGGGCTCTATCCTGGTGAATGGGATTAATGCCTTTATTGAAAGAGCTAACTAGCCCTTCCACCTTTTCTGCCATGTGAGATTGCCATGACAAAATTCCATCTATGGAACAGGTCCTCACCAGACAGGACATCTGCTGGCACAACATGCCCACCCTCCAGAACTGTGAGAAAATAAATTTCTGTTCTTTATAAATTATCTGGTCTCAGGTATTTTGTGACAGCAGCAGAAATGGACTAAGATACATGGTTTTATTCTACAATAAATATATAGTTTGCACTTCTAAATTTTAAGTTGAATGTTTTGTATAATCCACATTAAAAACATTTCATTTAAAAATATGCTCAATTTTTTTTCTGATTCATGCCTTTTTTATTGATTATACATATTCACTGGGCACAGAGCTGACCGTCAGCAACTATACCCAACAAGTGATTATTAGAGTAATACTATCAGCATGCCCGCCATCTCAAATTGCAATTATTCTACTTCTCCCCCACCCAA